ACCGGGGGGAAAAGGGAAGGGGCGATCAGCAGGAAGCTGCGAGAGCCCCGGGATTCCGGCCGTAGGGATGGGTGTCTTTTGCATTTTTCGTTTTTTTTCCCAAACTACTTTCGCGCCCAATTAGGTGCTCTGTGAACCGGTATTCATTCATTCATTCATTCACTCCGGGCCAAGCCCGCTTCTGGGTGCTGGGTGTAGAGCCGGGAATCCCACTGACTTGGTCCCTGCCCTTAAAGAACTAACAATCCAATGGATAAGACGGTCCTCCGGCATTCCCCAGTCTCCACCTCCTCTCGGGAGACCTGGGGCGGGTAATGTCCCAGTTGGAGCCCTAGCCCGCTGCTGACAAGCTGGCGCGCGGCGGCTGAGCTCGGGGGCCCTCTGGTGGCGAAGTCTCTCATTCCCCCCCCCCCGTCCCCCGCGCTCCAGCTGTCCGAGCGGACCAAGACTCAGGCCTGTCCCAGATCACTGCACAGACGGGTGAAGCTGCAAGGTTCAGTCATATATCGGGTGGCCGGGACTTAGGGGCACACCACAGAGGCCAGAGCCCGGCGACAGCCGCGCTTGTGGAGCCTTACCTGCAAGCCCGGCCAAAGCCAATGTCAAAGCCTCTCGCTTGTTTGCTTTTGGTCACAAATCGGTTTTTGCTCCCACAGCCTGAGGGAGCCACTGGGAGGGACCCGCGTGGGCTGAAGGGAAACCAGGGCCCTCTGTCTGGCCGCGCCCTGCAACCCCAGGACAGACATCAGTGTGGGACCCATCAGTGCCATCACTTCCTCCATTCATTCATTAAAATCCTTATTGAGCACCTGTTATGTTCCAGACATGGGGTAAGTGTTTGAAACACTTCAGTAAAGGAAGCACAAACAAACAGACGAAACAACCCAAACCCCCTTCCTCCTGGAGTGTACATTCTGGGGGATGGCGGAAAAGAAAATGGCACTATACATAGGTAATTAAGCACATAAACTATGGAAGGTCATTAAGTGCTTCGAGAAAATGGACCAGTTGGCAAGCTACTTAGATTTAAAACTCTGCACAAGCCAACACTCTGGGGACCAGACTGTGCCTTTTTAACCTGGGCTCTGTGCTCTGTCACAGGGGTGCCTCCCAAATTCAGGGTAGCAGGGCCGACTACCCTTTCTCCTCTGTCTTTTGCTTATGGCACTATCTCTGCTTAAAAGGCTCCACTTTTCTTTCTCTGCCGGGAAAGTCAGTTTCCTGTCAAGGCCCAAAGCAATGCCACCTTCCCTGTGAGATCTTGCAGATGTCTACCACACTCAGCACTCAGAGCTGCAGCTCCTCAGAGACACCTCAGTCATGAGGAGTTCAAGGTGAGAGGGAGGCAGGGGTCTGGCTGTTGGGTTAACAGACAGGTGCATCTCCAAGGCTCGATTTTGTGCTATGATCTCTAGACCCCTAGTGACAGTCCAGGTGCCTGCCCACAGCCCTCTGCCCGGCATAGGCTGTTCACACCTTCAGAGTTCAGTGACTGGGCTTTTGGAGAAGGACCTTAGTACAGGGTTGAAAGTTTGCACCCACTCATTGTTTCCCAGTGTGAAACCAACAAGATGACTTCAGGTGGTACTCTGAAAACATTATTTTAAACAACATAGATTTATAAACTTATTTTTTTAAAGTAATAAAAAAATAACTAGCACATTAAAGCAGACATTTCAGATATTGCTCAAGACTGATTTCATGATTTAAGTTTTAAAAAATAAGTAGATTTAAACTAACAAAGCATGCAATAGTATAGGTGGTTGGGGAGATAGCAAAAAAATCAGACAGGGGTACAAAAAGATCTGAAGTTTGAAAATAAATAAAGAACATTTTAAAATTGCTTGACACTTCCCCTTTTATAAACAAACCTTTTGGTCTCAAAGTGGTAAAACAAAATAATACAAGGGAGATAGGGCATCTTCACTCTTGCCATCCAGGTAAGGCCAGAGAATGCTCACCCAGGAGTGTTCAGGTCCTTGGAAGGGTGTGGGGATACATGAGATCCCAACCCCCAGCCCTGGATACCCCTGACCCTCCCACCCCAATCATGAGTCTTCTTTCATACAGCCTTGAGTGCGGGACTGGAGGCATCACACCCCACCCACCCCTGCTCTCCCACCTTTGACATCTCGCATCGGCGTTCACTGGTATATGTCCTACACAGGGAACCAGGAGGCCCGTGAGAAAGACAAAACCTCAAAGCCTCGATGCTATCATCTGTGGAATGGGTATATTATCTCTCAGGCTTGGCCTTTGGATTTACTAAGTGTGAAAGCACTTGGCACAGAATAGGCCTTCAGGAAGATATTTACACAGGACTTCAGTTTGCTTTCTCTGAATTCATCACATTTGGTTCTGACAAAGATGACACCAGCAGAATAAGCCCTAATATCTCAGCTTTGAAGACAGGAGCCTGAAGTTCAGAGCGGCTCAAGGCCTTGGCCAACATGGCAGAGCTGGCCAAGGACAAAGGCGCAACTCTCTGGACCAGCGTCTCTGGATTCTGGAGCATCAGTGTGTGCGGGGATGGAGGTCACTTCCGTGGCAGGTGTCTGGGGAACCTCTTGGAGTCCTGTTCCCAGGGCCCGGGCTTAGCATCTGTCAGGCTGACTATGTTTTCATTGACTGGATCCAAAATTGACCTCAGGAGCCAGTTCCAAGAGCCCCAGTTCATCCTGGAGGGAAGGACCCAGGGAAGCTGAGGCAGGGCTCCTGCATGGGGCTCGCTCTGTGCTGGGTCCGGGCTGGCTTTGGGACACACCTGCAGGCAGGGCTCACCCTAGGTGAAGGTACATGTCCAACAAGCCAGATCTTCTGTGTAAGGTGGCTGTACCCATAGACTCTCCCTTGATGGACACTTCTAAAGCAGGGGTGGTATTTTCTGGGACATCCTCGTGCCCTCAGCCTGCACACCAGCTCCCACACACCCCATCGCCAAAATCAGTGGAGGCGGGTCCAAATTTGCTCTGTCAATCCTAACCCTACCCCTCTCTCTTAGTACCCTTGCCTCTGGGCAGACTGGCCTCAGCATCTGGAGCTCCATCAAAGTTTCTGGAGCTGGAGTATACACCAGCCCCTACCATAAACCCCTGGGTGATAGGAAGTGTGTGCCCTGGGGGATAAATAACATTTACACAGGAGTTACTCCGTGTTGTATACCTTTTGCCTCCTTTGCCCCCACATCTACCTGCAAGGCGGGTTCAGTGTTAACCCCATGGCCCAGATTTGGGAGCTAAGATCACACGGCTACTCTTTGGCAGAGCGGGGATTTAAACCCGCTCAGCCTGCCTCTGCAGTAGAGCTGTTCCTGGGGAAGGACAGAAGAGTAGATTTGCCACGTAAACTAGAGGACACCCAGTTAAATTTGAATTTCAGATAAATGTGCCTTTTTTTTTTTAGCATAAATATGTTCCAAATATTGCATGGGACATAGTTACACTAGAAGGAATTATTCGTTGTTCATCTGAAATTCAAGTTTAACTAGGTGTGCAGGATTTTTATTTGTTGAGTCTGGTAACCCGACCCCAGGGTCTTACACTCTTCGCGACACAATGGAGCCCCTCTCCATGGGCTCCCTGCCTGCACCTTCAGGACCTGTGGGCAGAGGGTGGGAAGGG